GAAAAAGAGACCTGAAGAGAACACACAGTATGTTTATTGACGATCTAAAAGTATGCCAAGAAAACCATCAAAAGCTTGAAGTAGCGAATGAAACGATAGTGAAGGCAAGTATGGATACAGGAGCATGTTATGGTGTGAAGAAATGTGCGGAAATTGTCTTGATGAATGGAAAGATGGTGAAAGGAGATGGATTGGCAGTTCTGGAAGAGAGAATGAAAGCACTGGACCCAGAACAGAACGAAGTGTACAAATTTCTCGGTTGTGAGCAAGGCGACAAAATTGATGTCAGAAGGGTGATGCAAAGAGTGAAAAAGGAGATTGCAAAAAGATTGGAACAATTGATGGGGGTTAATCTGAATGATAAAAATCTTGTGAAAGCGATAAATTGTAGGGTGGTGCCAGTAGCTGGATATGTCATGAATGTATGTAACTTGAGGAAAGGAGATTTTGGAAGAGTTGGATAAGATTGTTAAAACCGCACTTAGGAAACAAGGATTTCATGGAAAGCAAGCAAGTGACGAGAGATTGTATGAGAAAAGAGATGATGGTGGAAGGGGATTGAAAAGCTTTAAGGAAGTTTACGATGAGACGAAAGTAAGGGTAGCATGCTATATGGCAACATCGAACAACGAGTGGATTAAAGTGTCATGGAGAAACGAGTACATGAAAGAGCAAACATCGTTGAAAAGAGTGGCAGAGGAAGCAATGGGGCGAATGAATGCACACGTCGAATTCAATGTTGGAGAAATCAAGACCGGAAACGAAAGCTATGTGGATTGGAAGGTCGCATGGAAAAAGCTTAAGAACATCATAAGGGAAGGGCAAATCAGGAACAAGGTTGAAACCTTCAGGGAAAAGAGACTGCAGAGTGAAATACCAATGGGATTTGACAAGGATGATCATGGTTGGCTGAAGTGCAACACCGACCCGAGAAAAACAGCATCGACATTCACATTGCAGGAACAGATGATCGAAACAAAAGCATGGAAGAAAATGAGAGGACTAGTCGACCAAGACAAGTGCAGATTGTGTGGGGAATTTAGAGAAACAGTTCAACACCTATTGGCAGGATGCAAAAAGTTGGCGGGATCGGAGTATGTAAGAAGACATGACAACGCGTTAAAAGTACTAGCAGTGCAATGGGCGATTGATAATGGATTGTTACCGAAAGGAACGAAGTGGTACACAGAGAAATGGGAGAGAGGAAAAGTAATTGCAAATAACGGGAAGAAGCTATATTGGGATTGGGAACACAGGATGAGGACGAGTTGCACGGCAAGGAGGCCCGATCTGACGCTAGAGGACAGCAGAAAGAAAGAGATTATGCTACTGAATAGACATGGCATGTCCGTATGAGTCGAACAAAGTCGGGAAAAGAGAAGATAAGAAAGTACCAACAGCTTTGTTATGAATTACGGGAAAGACGGGACGGATATAAAGTGAATTATAACCTGAGAAATCAAAGGAACTTCAAACCCCCCCCCCACAAATCATGACTAATAGAACAATGAATTCCTTTATCTTCTCTATGTGTAGCGCATGAAACTTGATGTTTATTTATTGGATGTTCGTATACAATTATTAGTGTAAATTAGCCTTTTAAACTTTTTATCGTAATTACTATTATAATAGTC